CCCTACCAACCAATAGGCTACGAGCCTCACCTTCATCTAGTTAAAACCCCTCCTAAATATTGTAGCTAGAAACAACCTACTTAGATACTTGTAGGCCTAAGAACCCTACACGTCTTATATAGCCCTTCGGGCTGAAAAAGGACGTTAAACTAGAATAATAATAATAATAATAATAATAAGAATGGGATATTGGATAATGTGATGATGTTGGGAGGATACTCGAGCTTCCAGTATTGCGGTCAGAACAGCTTCCATTGCATCTGAGAATATCATCTGCTTATGAAACATTCTGTGACACGATTTCACCAGTAAATAGAGAAGTGCTGGGTTTTGCTGAGTGAATGCACGTGCTCTTCCGAAGAAAAGTACCAGCTGAAGATTCTTTGGACTTGGACACTACGTAAAATGAAAAGCAAATCCAGCCAAATATATTTTCCGAATGAATCGTAGGTACTGGTGAGCAAAAGTAAGTATGTAGAAGAAACAAGCATACGTACCGGAACTGTACGGCTACACGCTAGTGGGAGACTAGCGCGTTAAACTAGGTACGACTCGCGTGGGGAGTACGTCATGTTCGACGCGCCCCGCCAAATCTTCCGTTCCCTGTCACATTCGTGTTGCTACGAACAACTACATCTGCTGTCACATACACAAATGGCGCAAAAGGGAACCCATCTACTGGAGCGCCCGCTCTATGGTAACATGTCTCCCCGCTTTTGCGAACCCCACTAACGTATCACAGTATTCGATCTCCCCGAAGAGCTCTTGTCCACCCTCACCCTCAAGAACCAGCCCGAACGGTCGCTTCCAGAGACGCCGTCCCCGATCCCCAAGAGTACAAACGAGTCGTCCGTTAAAGCCGATAGCGACGACTCAAGCCCCGCGAAAGCGACCTCATGTAACCTCTGTGGCCTCAGCTTTGCGTCTCTCGCCGACCAGCGCAGCCATGTGCGATCCGACCTACACGGCTACAACTTGAAGCAGAAAATGAAGGGCGCCAAGCCAGTGAGCGAAGCAGAGTTTGAGAAGCTCATTGGTGACCTGGATGAGAGCATATCTGGTTCTGAGTCATCGGAGTCTGACGACGATGAAGATGAGGAAGAGGGAGCCAAAGCGAAGGATTCCACGCTTAGTGCGCTTCTGAAGAAGCAGGCCAAAATTGCAGACCCGGGTTTTGACGAGTTCGCATCACCAAAGAAGCAAAGAGGGCCTGGAAAGCCTCCGTTGCTATGGTTCACATCGCCCTCATTACCCGACAACATGTCCCTGGGCATATACCGCGCGATATTCTCAAATACTGAGCAAGAAGACGAGTCGCATATTTTAGAAACCATACGGAACAAGCAGCTCTCGCCAAAGCAGCTCCCAAAGATAAAGGCAAACGAGGGTGGTGTCCCGCTGCCCGATACGGATTTCGGGCCGCATTACTTTCTATGTATGATTGGTGGTGGGCATTTTGCAGCTATGATAGTAGCATTGGCACCAAAGACGGGCAAAAAGCACACTGGAGCCGATGAACGTTCAGCAACAGTCATTGCCCACAAAACTTTCCACAGATACACAACCCGAAGGAAGCAGGGTGGTTCACAGTCTGCCAACGATAACGCCAAGGGTAACGCTCACTCTGCCGGTTCTTCCATACGCCGCTACAACGAGACTGCGCTTGTCAACGAAGTACGCGAATTGCTGAGCAGTTGGAAGAGCATAATTGATACCTCAGAGCTCGTCTTTGTTCGCGCAACTGGCGCAACAAATCGAAGAACACTTTTCGGTCCCTATGAAGGACAGGTGCTGCGACACAACGATCCACGCAACCGAGGGTTTCCGTTCAGCACACGTCGAGCGACTCAGAAGGAACTCATGCGTGCTTTCGTTGAGCTTACTCGAGTAAAACAAAGTACGATTGATGAAGAAGCACTGGCTGCGCTGAATGCCCCTCAGAAAGAAGCCACATCTCCAGCACCAGCGAAACCTAAACCCAAAAAGCCGACGAAGGAAGAAGAGACTGCCTCCTTGCACACATCCCAGATCATACCAATGATCAAACGATCCAAGGTTCCTGCGCTCCTGAATTACCTTAAAACCAACAATATACCACCAACTTTTACATTTTTTCCTGCAAATCATCACACGCCAACGCCGTTGCATCTTGCAGCGTCTCTCAATTCCGCACCTATCATTCTCGCGCTTCTCACAAAAGCAGGTGCAGATCCAACCATGATGAATGACGAAGCCCGAACACCATTCACACTGGCGGGCGACCGTGCAACAAGGGACGCATTCCGTGTTGCACGTTCCGAGCTCGGCGAGTCTGCATGGGATTGGGGAAAATCGGGCGTCCCAGCAGCCATGTCAAAGGCTGAGGCTGACAAGCGAGACGCTCAGGAAAAGAACGAGAAGGCTGCAGAAAGCAAGGCTGAGTCTGAGCGCAGGAAAGCCGAGACAGAGCGTGTACGGAAAGAAAGTGAAGCAGAAGAAGTGAGAAGAAAGGAGCAACGATTGGGCAAAGGCAAGGCTTTGGGGGCGCTGCCTGCCAAGACTGGCGCAGATCTGAGAGAGGAAGAGATGAGAGGATTGACACCAGAGGCAAGGGCAAGAATGGAAAGGGAGAGAAGAGCCAGGGCAGCTGAGGAGAGACTAAAGCGGATGCAGGGTTGAGCGCTTTGTGGAGGTCGCGTTTGTCTTGATAATGCTAGAAGAAACCAGTTTGGTGGTGCTCAGCATTACGAATAGACGGTATGTTCTTGGAAGAAGTCACGTGTCTTGCCAGACTGAAATTTCGACGAGGAAAGGGAAAGATGAAATTTGGCAGCAGCCTGTGGTAATCCGATCATGTAGCTCTTGCTAATCATGCAGTCCAGAATAATGTACTTCCCATAAAAGCTTTATCGTTCTCAAAGCGTATGCTTCCACATCGGCTTAATACCCGTTATCTCACAATATGAAAGTCAAGCGCCTTCAATGCAAACGAAACCAGAACACAGCACATTGTTGTCACATGGCACTGGTATCAGAATCCTATCAGCAAACCATACACAAGAATTGCCTTGTAGCGACCAAATCAAAAACTCGCCGCATCAAAATCATGCTCTGCATACAGAACCATGAACATCCCAACTACACAACCGCCAGTCATTTACTTCGTCACACGCACGTCGACATGGGCAGAATCGAAGCCCACGGTCGTATTACACAGCATCCACTATATCGACGAGCCCTGAACATGCAGCCGAGAGGATCTCATCGATCCAGTACCCGCGTTGGGTGAGTATAGCAGAGAAGTCGCTTACCAGCCACACATCTACGCCTCCCACATCTTCACGCCCGCGCCATACTCGCGTTCCATCAGGCTTTGCGTGCGCGCTACATTCGAAGCAGGGGAATCCGACACACGAATCAGCATTCTTTTCGTGGGCGAAGACAGGGATCAAGCCAAGGAAGCCATGTTGAACCATGTTGCAAAGGCGCTGGCGACTGCATGGGAACAGCACGAGGAGAATCCGAGACAAGTGTATTATCGTAATACGGTGCTGGGGGAGCATGTGCAGTTTGTGGATGACAAGACGGGGTGGATTACGTGGTGGGAGTTGTGGTCCCATCATCTTGTGAATTTGAGGTCGGGATGGGTGGGGAGGAGGTTTCAGGGAGGTGGAGATTGCGGAGAAGGAGGAGAAAATGGAGGAGGTTCCAGGGTGATGTTTTGATTTGGTGGTGGTATAAACAGGGAGTTGAAGTTTAGGGTTGGGGTAAGGGTGGAAGTTGTCGTGGGTTTCCTGAGCTTGAGAGAGTAAGTGAGAAGATATCCTCGTTCAATATTCTCGTAGTAGGAATGGTTCATTCTTGCCCACTTTCCTATTTGGGCTTTTCGGCTCCACGTTTAGTTTTCCAGGTGCCAAACGATATCAGGACTAACTGCCATGTTGTGGGGGTAAGTTCATAGCACCCAATGACGTCATTCACCTGCAAACTCGACTTCTTCACAAACGCCATCTTTGTATCCATGCTGCCTCCAAACAAATCCAAGCCATGCCTTCCACCGATACAGAAGACAAAGAAATAGACGCACGCTCAAGCACAGCGCTCGTCTCAACACAGCGCAACCTGCGTTATCTGTACGACCCAAAAACCGCCCCAAACGCCGTTTCCTCTCGTCGCACACGTGCATTCCTCCGCGTTGTGCGCTCAGGCCTCATCTTTGCATTCTGGAGGATCGTCCGATATGCCAAGTACGTTGCGATTGGCTCCTTGGTAGCGACAGTAGGTGCTGGGGCATTTGGCACTCTGATTAGTGGAGTGGGATTTGTGTTGGCGCCCACAGGCATCGCGGGCACAATTTTCGCAGCGACAGTGTGGGGAGTTGGCAGGTTCGCGCTAAGGAGGTTGAAGAGGAGGTGGGGGAAGGGGAGGGGGTATGAGAATGAGGAGGAATATGAGGAGCAGCGGGAGAGGAGAAGTCAGCAGAGTGGAATATGGGGCTGAGAGGATGCCTTGGTGAAGGAGTCATTATGGGATTCAAAGAGATGCGAGAATGACTTGTAAAAAGGACTTCCAAGATATGGACGGATCTACGACATTCGTTTTCAAGCCTTTGATCGTCAGATCATCAGGCCATTCCCCGAAGAACTACGAGAAGTGTTCAGCTCTCACCAAGATTGGCCTACCTACTTTCGACAATCTTGTTTCATCTCCTTACTTGGAAAGTGCTCCGGAAAAAATGGAGCAAAACGACGAAGAATATCAACAGGTCTTTCGGATGTAAACATGAAGCGAGAAGCCAGCCCCATGAAGGAATCGTCGGTTCCTTTTCATATCATGGACAGCATTTCCGCGCAGCCAATGGAGCTTCTGCCAAGCGAGGCTGAAGTGTCGCCTCGGCTGCATAACATCATGCTGGGCTTCTACCAGCCTTAACCCTGCAGCCTAACCTCAGCCTTCCACCTCAACTCAACATCTTAAGACAATCTCCACCTTTCTATACACGGTAATTATCGGCGCATATACAAACAAATAGATTCTTCTTGTAGAATTGACCACACCGTTTTTGTCGAATTCCAGCTGTATTTCCTTCTAATGGACCAACTTCCGCCAACCATACATAGTGGGCTATCAGCAGTTCCTGATACGCAATCAATGTCACAGCTACCAGATCATCTAAAATCTTCTAAGCAAGATCCATGGAAGTCTTTGGATCCTGCGTTGTCTAAGATATGCAATCGCTGCCAGAAAATCGACTTTGAGGCGATCTTCTATCCACAGCGGACACATGGAGTAATAGAGGACACCTTTGTCAGCACATTAGAAGAATTAATGGCTGATGTGGAGTGTGCTGTCTGTTGCCTCCAATGCTTCTGCATCTCGTAAACCGGCACAAGACCTGGATCAAGCATATCATCTATACACTTTGAACGCACAAAAGGAGCTTAAAGTTTCAAGCCGATTAGAGAAATTACGGCCCTCTATTGCACTGTCCGTTTGATGCAAGAAGAACGGGTTTCCTCGGACCTCGTTAGATCAGGTGCCAATCTTCATACTGATCGGGGAAAGAAGCGACGAGAAAGGAGAGCCTACGGCCCTGGTGCAAGGGTCAAGGCTATAGCGGCTGCAAATCAATTTCCCAAAGCTAAATTCCAGGTGACTGCAATACAAGATAGAGCATCAGGATTCGTGCGGCCTCAATCCTACTCAGCGTGTGTCCGTTCCTCTGACCTGCATCGATTGCCACCGTCGGTCAATAGGGCAAATTGGTGAAAACGAAGAATACCTAGCACTGAGTTATGTGTGGGACGCATCTCAGCCAAGTAAATATCAGATTGTGGAAGACAGCGAGCTCTTTCTGCCACCACGTGGAGTAAGCCAGGTCATAGAGGATGCTATCCTGGTTGTCAAGAGCCTTGGAAAGCGCTATCTTTGGGTAAATCAGTACTGTGTTGATCAGCACGATGCAGCTATCAAGGCAGTGCAAATACGCGAAATGGACAGAATATACGCTGGAGCCTACGTAACGGTTGTCGCCTGTGTAGGAGAAGATGCAGACTACGGCCTTCCGGGCGTTTCTCGCAGAAGAGAAGTACAGCCGTGCGCCATGTTACCTGAATTCAACCTCGCCGCTTCCTTGCCACCACTGTCCACCGCAATGAGGAATTCCAAGCGGATGACTCGCGGTTGGACTTACCAAGAAGCAATGCTCTCCCGCAGATGTCTCTTCTTCACCAACAAGCAAGTCTATTTTGTCTGTCCCAACATGGGCTGCTGCGAGTCGTTGCTGGTGCACAGTAGCGCTAGACAGTCATATCACGACGATCCATGGCAGGTCCACACAAGTCTCAGTACAAAGATGTTCGAGGAAGACTCGTATGCACAACTCAGCCGGAATCTGTGGAAACACCACACCGATCCAAGTGTGCTACATTTTGGAGAGCTCATGAATCACTTCTTGCAGTATATCCCGCGGCAGTTGACGCACCAAGAAGACATTCTAGATGCGTTCCATGGCCTGCTAAATCGCTCTTCATTCTACAGCTACTACGGAGTTGTCATCGCCTTAGCGGGCAACCCCATTGCGCCTGGAGAGTTCGAGCATGGGTTTATCCGCGGACTCTTCTGGACAACGGTGCCGGATCTCCAACGTTGACGCAACAAAAGGTACCCCAGTTGGTCGTGGTCAGGCTGGTCCTGGGAATCGTCCTGGGAGTCCGTAGACGTCTCGTTTCCGGCATACTTGAAATACCAGTGTAATTCCACTAGACCGGTGCACAGCATGGCGGTATACGGCACTACTTACCGAGAAATACTATCGTACATCCACGGATAAGCGTGTCGATCTAGTTGAACTGCTAGAAAGCGAATTTTTAACTGGAAAAAAAAACTTCGATGAAAGTACAAACTAACAGATATCCCATCCCATCCCATCCACACACTACCACAACCCCAGCTTAAAACCCTAGAAATCCTTTCTTGGGGTTATAAACGTCGGGTAGATATTACATCTAGCCAGTCATCATAGTACACCGTATAAGCTCACGCAATGTCTCTCCAAATATGGGCCTTTTCAGGATAGACTGGGATGGAAGTGATAATCGACAGTATGGAAAAAGAGGAATGAAGACGGTTCTGAAGAGAGTGGAGTAGGTGGGGGAAAAAGGGGGGTGGTGGGGTAAGTATTACACAAGAAACCAAGCCGAGAAGCGTACGTATACTGATACACTCGCCACGTTGACCACCATGATCTAGTACGTATGATTATCATCATCATCACATGTCAACCATATATCATGTATTTTGCAATTTTAATTTTTCCTTTGCGTTTCGAACAAGCAGCGCTGGTACTAGTAATAATAAATGGAGAAAAAAAAACATGACATCTATCTTCACATACAAACACACACACAGAGACACGCAGAACTCCAGTACCCTCCCCTCCCCCGAGCCCATACACACAAACAAACACACACATACATGATTTGTTCCCAAACAAAAAAAGGAAAACGGTCATTCAGAGTTTTAAAAGCTCGCCTTGCACGCCCGAATAATGCAAAATAGACATTTTCCAAGTTGGAAGGGGGGAACTTTAGATACGAGCAACCCAAAGAAAAATAAAATAGGCGAAGAGAAAAAAGAACCCCGCAGAAAAATCCAAGCTCTTTCATAAGCCACGTATTTATCGGTGACTTTTTTTCAATTGTGTGTAAACGAAGATAGAAAAAAAACCATTTGTGGGGGAAAATAAGAGAAGAAGATAAAAATAAGGATAAGGGTGGAAAAAAAGAAAATAAAGGGGAGCATTGATTGACTTGGGTGAGTGTTTGTTTGTGTATGCAGTTTTGACGCCTGAAGATGCAAGGAAATGTCGATCGCTCGTCCGCTCATGGTATCTGAACAAATAGTAGTTTGACAACAATTGGTCCGTGAATGCGTGACCGTTGATGTACATTGTTGAACAACAGGCGTGCTCGGTTCGTCATGGTATTCGTGACTGCCGATGGGTATAACGTGTGTTTGGCAATGCGTGCTACGCCCAAGGTGAGTACTCACAAGCACAGGCTGCCACAGCCTGGCTCTGGCTTCATGCACAAGCCTCTCTCTCTCGTGGCCTCGATGTCTCTCGTACGTGCCCTTGTCGTGATTACTGCCTTGGTACGAGGGGTGCGGAAGTTATGCCGAGCATTTTCCGCTGCGCTGATGATTCTTCACCATTCCTCTCGTTCCTACTACGAATCGGCTACGTCATCCATGGTGACATCACCAGCGCTGGTATCCTGTACAAGCGGAGAAGTTGCAGGGAGAATGGCAGATCGTGGACGGGTGTAGTCTACTTCGAGGCGATCGGGCATACTTGCTGGGGTCGAGGATCGCAAGTCATAATCCTCTTCGGCAGGGGGCGAGAAATCCCATACCTAGTCAGCCACATTAGTGTCCTGATCCTGTCTTGGACATTTTCCATAGCTTACCTCCATAATCGTTCGGCCGCCCCGACTGGCCATGATAACAGCCTTCTCTTCCTCAAACACTACTCTCCAGACAGCCTCGGCAGGGCTGCTCAATTCACGCACAGGAACACCAGTCTTGAGGTCCCAGACTTTGACACGACCATCACTGCCACCGCTGACAATCCTGGTGTTGTCGAACTGCAGACTTGTGACGCTATTATCGTGCGCGGCTAATCGGTGTATAGCTTGGTAGGTTGCAAGGCTCCACACACGGACCGAACCGTCTGATCCACCAGTCACCAGGATATCATCGCGCATCTGAAGTTGTCCGACAAGCGAGGTGTGGCCTTGTAGTACAGCCAGACATTTGCTGCACAAAAAAGGTTAGTTTTCTTCATCATATCATGACACAAGGTCAGACGTACCCATCGTTGGGATCCCATATCCGGACGCTGGTGTCCAGACTTCCAGTTGCAATCTTTTTGCCGTCAAAGGCAATGGCATAAATCTGGCTAAAGTGTCCGGTGAGTGTGCGTAGGCACTTGCCCTCGGATATACTCCAAATCTTTGCTGTGGTATCGTAGCTGCCAGAGACAACAATGTCACCATGTATCTCGAGGCATCGGACGCTAGCCTGGTGGCCAATGAGTACATGCTTGCACAATCCCTTCTTTAGGTCCCAAATACGCAGTGTCGTATCTCTGGATCCGGATATAGCTGTATTGGCATCCGACATCTTCAGACATCGCACTGTTGAAGTGTGACCACGGAGGGTAAACTGGGGGAAACTATTCATGTGTTAGATGCTGGTAATGGTTCAAAGGGCGGGGAGGGGGGGGGGACCATACCCGGTCGCAAGGTTCCAGACGCGAACGTCACGATCACAACCTCCACTAACCAAAAGGTCACCCCAGGGCACCATGGCCCACACGCCCATAACGTGTCCTTGGAGCGTCTTTTGGTGGTCACCGACGGTATCGAAGACGTGGATCTTGGCATTGTCGAGCGCAACGACAATGTACTTGTTGGTCAGATGCAGGCTGGTCACCACACCCTGATCTGGGGTAATCTGGCGGGCATCGCACACGCCTCCGTTGCGCCAGGCCGTCTCGACCATGTATCGCTGCTTGAAATGTGATCGATATGTGGTTGCCTGGGGTTTCCGGGGCGAGGGCTTCCTCTTGGCTGCACGGTCGAGGCTCTGGGTGCGCAGACCCTCGGAACCACTATTTGAGGGCCCAGCTTCGAGGTGGTCTCTTGCTGACACATCGTCGACCCTCGGCGCGCGCTCGTCCTCCTGCCACCACGGCTTGGACTCGGTCGCCTCCATTTCATCGGCCGGGGGCTCCTCGTCTTCCATCTTGTCCTCCTTGGGCAGGGCGCGGAATGAAAACTTGTGGCACAACAGCCTCCAGGCACTGTCGTCATTGACAAGCTCGCGCCATTTCTTCGAGACTTGGGATGCTCGGGCGAGGGTTGTGGGGTCGTCGACACACTCGAGGATCTGGCGGGCGTCAGTAAGGTCGAGCAGGGCGGGTCATGACGGGGGACAGGAACAGACTCTGAGGCACAGCTCGGTAGGCAGGACCATGAAGGGATCCTTCTTGAGCCGGGGACTGACAAACTCGGCGACGAAGCTCAGCTCCTGGCTGTCGCACAGGTTGAGCAGCTCGCCCAGCAGGCGCATGCGCTCTGCGCGGTTCATGTCGCCAAACTGTGCGCGTATGCTCTTGATGTCGCCATCCTCGTGCTCGGCGGCAGTGCTCCAGTCGGGGACCCGCTGCGTGGGCGTGGGACTGGGGGCGGGCGTGGGCGGCGAGGCCGGGGCCGAGGGCAGCAGGTTGTGGGGTATCGTGGACGAAAGCGGGCTCGTGGGCGTGATGATGGGCCGCGGTGCTCCTGAGCGAGACATGCGGCCTTTGCGCCCGTGGACACTGGGCGAGGTGTACATGGCGGAGCGCGAGGACGAGGCGGTTGCGCTGGCCGAGGCGGCCATGTCGGTGTCCGAGTCGTCGATGTGGGCGGCTGGGGCGTCTCGATGGTCGCCGGCGGGCGTGAAGTAGTCGGGATCCATGACGACGAGGGCAGGCCAGGCCAGGCTTGGGGTCGTGGGTGCCGTGTGAGGCTCCCTAAGTAGCTGGGGGGCCCGGGGCGTGGCGGGCGGGATCACGGCGTCACGGGACACACGGGCAGGCGTAGAGGGATTTCACAGAGTCGAGGGGATTCCGGGAAACACGGTTCAAGTAATAGGGAAGAAGGTTTGCGTGCGGACGTTTCGGGTGGGTAGGCGCGACAGAGTGACGCCGGCGGCCAGCCAAGACATGGCCGGCTCAGCCCTGGAAACTCGTCCACACCTGACGCGAAATAAGCCTAGCTGTGCCTCTTCAATGCCCTTGCGCCGCCCATGGCCATGGCATTTGCACCCGTCCGCATGCCATGCCAAAATTAGACGCCCAGCGCTGGCGGCTGCTCCGCGTCGTCAAACGCTCAGGGGATGATGCGGCGTCTCAAAAGCACCACCCAAACAGCCATGGTTCCCCTCGCCGCCGGCCTCGAGCAAAACAAAGCAGCCAGAGCCAGACGCTCCCTCGCCGCCACGCCGCCGCCGCCGCCAGAGCCTTCTTCCCTCGCCCCTCTGCCCTCGTCCGCCGCCATGGCGATGCGCTGGTCGCCGCCCATGTGAGCATGGAGTAGGTCGTGTGTACGTGCGTGTGTGTGTGTATGTGTGTGAGTGCGTTGCACGTCGCGAGACATGGTGCAACACCACCAAGTGCAACACCACGGCGCTTAACGCTGCGACCCCCCCAAGAGGCCTGCTGGCTGCTCGAGTCGACCCATCTCACGCTAGCATGGAGGATGTATCTATGTCGGGATGCCCACGAAGCAGCTAGACACGTCCTTTTGCCCAGCTAGCATGGCGTGCACTCCACACACACTCGCGCTCACTCACACACACACACACACACAGGGTGCACGGTGACAAGATGCACATGAGCAGCCCCGTCCAGCTGTCTGTCTCGACGGCACCGCGGCCATGGACTCGCCGTGGCCTCTCCCTGCAGAACGCGTGGTACACACGTACATGGTGCATGCTGAACATGCCGACTGCCAGCCATGTTGGTCGCCGCCCGCCGTCGTCGTGGCAGGCCATGGTTCAGCTGATGTGCCCCCGGGGGGGGGTGCTTCTTTTTCCAGCACTGTGCGGCAAAAGCATCAGCGGCACGACCACGAGTGCGCGCGACAGCAGCTGCTGGCTTGCCAATTCGTGCAAAGGGGTTTCAGAGGCGAGCATGAACAGCTATTTTGAGGGCCGGATATGCATGTCTGGATTGGGGGCACACCAGCTTGGCACGACGGCACCGCACGACGAGAGCAGAGAAGTCGAAGCTGGAAGCACGCCATCTCCCCGCGACGTCATTGGGCCCGCCCGCCCTCGCGACTACGACTTTTGGCGCGACGGCCCACGGCGTTTGTAATCCACCCCATGTGGTTATAGCATGGCCATGGAGCCTCTGCTGCACACACCCACACCCACACCCACACCTCTCGTCTCCATGCTCGCATCCCCCCCGGCGCTCCACCTGCCACCGCCGTGGCCACCAAGACACCAGCCATGAGCGTCCCCCGCAGCCTGCTCGCCCGCGCGCGCCCATCTCGCGCGGCCTCTGCTACCCCACAATGTTTCGCAGCGACGCCAGCGCAGCCTTCCTGGTGCGTTGCAAGACCCCAGTGGAACCACGCTGTTCGCTCCATCCACCGGCAATCTCCGCGCAAAGCCCAGCATACCGCTGCTGCTCGCGAAGCCGAGTCGTCGAATCCCGCCCTCTCGTTTCCCTGTCTCGACGCCCATGAGTCTCGCTCGGCCTCACTCTCCAGGAAACGATCCTCGTCGGGCCCGGAGCCCTCGTATACGTCTGGCCACACGCTCAACTTCCACTCGACCCACCCAATGCTGCTGGACTGGGGCGGCATACTGCCAGAGTTCAACGTTGCCTACGAGACATGGGGGCAGCTCAACTCCACCAAGACCAATGCCATCCTCCTCCACACGGGCTTGTCAGCATCGAGTCATGCCCATAGCACCGACATGAACACGAAGCCAGGATGGTGGGAGAAGTTTATCGGGCCCGGAAAGCCGCTGGATACTGACAAGTACTTTGTCATTTGTACAAATGTAATCGGCGGATGCTACGGCTCCACTGGGCCTTCCTCGATAGACCCTGCGAATGGCCAGCGCTACGCCACGAGATTTCCCATCCTCACCATGGAGGACATGGTGCGCGCCCAGTTCCGCCTGCTGGACAATATGGGCATCCAGAAGCTGTACGCCAGTGTGGGCTCGAGTATGGGCGGCATGCAGAGCTTGGCTGCCGGCACCCTGTTCCCAGAGCGCGTGGGCCGTGTGGTGAGCATCAGCGGGTGTGCGCGCAGCCATCCCTACAGCATCGCCATGAGGCACACGCAGCGACAAGGTCAGTGCATGAAACCCCTCGGCTCTGAAAACGTGGATTGACGTGTTTGCAGTGCTCATGATGGATCCCAACTGGGCCCGTGGCTTCTACTACGACGGCATCCCTCCACATGGCGGCATGAAGCTGGCTCGAGAAATCGCCACAGTCACGTACCGAAGCGGCCCAGAATGGGAGCAGCGCTTTGGGCGACGGCGCGCAGACCCTTCGCGGCCACCGGCCCTGTGTCCAGACTTCCTCATCGAAACCTATCTCGACCACGCAGGCGAAAAGTGGTGTCTGGAATACGACCCCAACAGCCTGCTCTACGTCTCCAAAGCCATGGATCTGTTCGACCTTGGCCTGGAACACCGCACTCGCATCAACCAAGTGCGCAAGGCAAACAGCGGCAAGTTGCAGGCATATCTCGACGGACAGGACATCACGGCCCATGGCAGCAGTGACGTCTGTAGCCTAACATTGCCCGATGAACCTTATGAGGAGAAGGAACAGCCCGTTGAGCCTGACTCGCTCGCACAGACAGACGGCAATGAGCCGCCAGCAGACCTAGTGGCGGGACTAAGACCCATGGCCAATACCCCAACACTGGTTCTCGGTGTTGCTAGCGACATCTTGTTCCCCGCTTGGCAGCAGAAGGAAATCGCGACGACGCTCAAGCGCACGGGCAACAAGAATGTCACGCATATCGAGCTGGGCGAGGAAAAGAGCTTGTTTGGCCATGACACTTTCCTGCTCGACCTTCAAAACGTCGGCGGCGCTGTTCAAAACTTCTTGGGCTAAGCTGCAGCCGACTCCACGCTTCAATTGTATCCGTGCCAGCCGTCAGCTGCATGGGGTAAAAAGTCGGGGTTTTTTTTTCTTTCATGAATGCATCCTAGGGCGTTATACTATGGCGGGTCGGGGTCATGTAAAAGTGATAACGAATTGGCTATTTGTTGTGCTGTGGGTTACTTTGCACGTGCCATCTCATTCCTCACATTCATCCCCCTCCACTCTCCACTCATGGCTTCATCGATCCACTTGCACTCTGTCACGCCAACGTGCTCCCGAACATAGTCCTCCAGTGCCTTTGCCCCCGGTGCGTCTGCGTATATGCCCAGGGCGCCCACGCGGGGGATATGCAGCCGGGAAGCGAGCCGGCTGTCGGCCGACGTGGGTAGAGGGACAAGGCGCGTTGCCGTCTTGCATGAGTCCGGGGTAGCACATGGCCGAGAGAGGCTGCATAGATGCACCAACGTTGGGAGGTGAGCATGGGCTGGCGAGAGCGAGGGCTTCGGGTGACTAAGTACCACCATGCTCAGAGGCCGCAAGTCGTTGTGCGCCAATGCCTTGGCGCCTTCCTGCTCTTGCTCTCGACATGCAGCCAGTGCCGTCGACGGCGCAGTCTTTGCAGCCAGGGCCTCCAGGTGTCGCGTGACGCTGTTGAGGCCAACGAGGACATGATTGCCTATGGCTGGTCGAGGGGGCGGGGTCTCAGCCATGGTGGAGTCGTCTTGATCCGGTTGGGTGGTGGCGCGCTTGCGCTTCTTGCCTCTGGACGGGTGCATGTGGGTTCGGCGGTAGTCGCCTAGTGGGGTGATGAGACTGCGTGTGGGTTGTCAGTGCCGGCACAGGCGAAATGGCGTTGGGAGGCGATGCAGTCGGGCATATCGCCTTGCACGGCTGAGAAGCTGGGGAGGAAGGTTTTTTCCATGCATCCTTCTTCCTTCTTTCGTTCCTTTCTTTCTCTCCATCCTTCTTCTTGCGCCCCGCGTACCTACTTGGACAGCAATTCTAGAATGACGTCTTCATCGTCGCGCGATAGCTCTGGCCTGCGCCCGTCAGCCTTGCCCCGTCGTCGAATGCGGTGCGGGCGCGCCCAACCATCGAGTGTCTGTGAATGGCGATGCCGTCTTGAACACGGGCTTGGTGTTCTGCTTGGAGGCCGGCGCCATGGCGGGCACTGGCGGGCACTGGCGAGCGGCGCTGCTCTGCTCGGTGTGCGCACGCGGTGGGCACAGGGACGATGCAGCTTTTGCAAGACCGAAGTGCGTCCGGTCGTCCTGGGGGGTCGCGGGCGCGAGTCGAGATAAGGAGAGTGAAACTTATAAAGTGGAGTTGCCGGCGTGCCTGCATTAGAAGGAGGATTTCTCCATGGACGACGGATGGGGCATGGGCTATCCTGGTCGGCCGCTAGCGGTGCACGCTAACTGCGGGAACCAATGACGATGGTGGGGCGGGCTGGCAGCTCCCAGTCGGAGAGGGACCAATTTCTACACCACAACACTCCCACAGGCCCTGCGCCCCTCGTGCTCGTGCAGTCACCTCTCCAATTCCGCATCCTCCCAGGTCGCTGCGGCCCATGACTAGCTGCGCCGTGTTTCCTTTGCCTGCGCGCGAGCAGCTGCGCCAGTAAGGCGGGCACAAGCACCGCTGCTGCCTGCAAACCAGAGAGACCTGCTTGCCCTCTCTGCCTGGCCTCACCTGCCCGCCACCGGCCCACGCGTGCGCACATCTACCGGCCACGCCTGATTCTTTCGTAAACCGCCCCCCTCGCACACGTCTCTCACCGTCATGACCTCGCCGCATCATGGCCTAGTGCAGTCTGCCGCTGCCGACGAGCCAGCAACCGCCGCCCCCGCCTCGCCGCCGCGCCGTGATCCCATTGAAGACGCCGACGCGAGCTACACCCGCAAACGCCCCCGTCTGCACAGCGGCAGCAACAGCCTGCGTGCCATGTCTGCCGAACCACACACCCCGACCAACACAGCCGCATCGCCCCCGGACGCCCACGTAGAGATGACCATACGCTCCCACCCGCCCTCTTCCCCGGTACCTGCTGGAGACGAGAACCATAGCCGCGAAACCGCCCTTCTGCAGAGCCCACTGCCTGCCCACGCCCGCTCGCCCATCGTCCTCGCTAGTTCCGATGACGAGGCTGCAAGCCCGCCCGTCATGGTCATCGACGACGACGACGACGACGACGATGACGACGTCGTGGCCTTGTCCATGCACATGGATGCCGAGGACCACTTCCGCCAGTTTCCCTTTGCAAACGTTGGCAGCTATGTCACTGTGGTCCGAGAACTGGCCCAGCATATCCAAGATAGTATGTGGCTCCCGTCAGCCCTATCCGCTGGGCTCTTTGCCCTCTCAGCTAACATTCCGTAGTCGATAGCGATCTTGACCCCGACCTCTTTCTGAGCTTGTCGCAATGGCTCCTCGACATCCCCGACCCTTCCGCCGACATGCAAGGTTTCTACGTGAGCAAGGCGCCATTCTGGGATGATGTTGCCGTCCTGATACACAAGACCTTGGTTCGCAGGGTAGCGTTTGGCCACCGCCATGACCATCGGACAGGCGATGTCTTCTACAGCTTCTTGAGCGCCTACGTCAGGATATGCTCCTTTCTCCTGCTCGTCGACGCCCAACTCATTTCTCAGCCACGGTCGGACGACACATATCTTTTGCCTCTCATTAGCCAAAAGCATCTTCGTCATTTGCACACCATTCTTCGCCCCGATAAAGCGCCAGTCTATCATATGATCAGCAAAGAGTATTCCGTGGATATCCGCAAGATGGTTTTGCGGCTACAGCAGGACTTCCTGGCCGCCAACGGTGCTCGGAACCTGCTTCAGCTGGCCAACGAGGCGATCCTTCAAGTACCTACGAGCGTACAGCATCACATTGCCGTGTTTGCTTCGCCAGTGTTGATTGCATTGGGCTCATTGTTATTTCAAAGTTCCCTCCCAAGTAGCGAGCACGAGCGAAGCGACTTAAGCCGCGGTACCCTGCTATACTTGGAAAAGTACATGGACGATTTGTTCAACTTGAACAGAACCATTGAATCCGGCGTTGCGCGAGATCTCATTCAGCACTTCCATGCCCTGTTATTCGAGCTCTGCGTTTGGGACAAGAAGATAGAAGCGGACCTGGTGGATAGATTTCTGGACTTTAGGAGCCCCGATTCGCCAACGACTTCATCCCCCACCGAGATCGCCCCTCCAGGATGCCAGGACGAGTATCTCAAAGACCCAGAGTGTTTCCCAGCTCTAGTGGCCAATGCCTGGCGGTTCAAGATTCTGCGCAAATATTTGACCAAGGGCAAGATGGACTTGCGAGTGATGAGTATTGCCGCAATGGATGTGGGCTTGGTCGAGATTTGGAAGCAGTACAGTGAAAACGACGTGGCATGCAAGCATCCGGTCATGCAATACCTCGCAGACTTTCTCCTCGAAGGAAACATTGTCGACTACATCATCAGCGTCGACTCGCATCCACAACTTATCGCGCGCAGTGGGAACATTATCGGGTTTCTCGTTGTAACCCAACGTTGGTCGGATAGGCAAGCAGATGCTATCTGGAATACGGTTGCAACAAATCCCGATCCCCGTGTCGTTTCAGCAACCATGACCATGATGCGAGCCATCATCAACCTGATGAAGATTACCGATCACTTGTACCTCTGCATCAAGCTCCACGATCTCCCTATCAGTAGCTACACCATGGACATTCTACGTTTCCTCCGCGAACTGAGCGGCAAGATTGTGGAGAGGGCTTCTCCCAACGACCTTATAACAAGGGACCGAAGAGCAAGGCCATGGAACGTTTGCGTCCGCATGATTTGCGATACAGTTGCCCAAAAAGAGCCGGAGAAGGAACTAATGGATCTTCACAACGAAGCCATCGACCATCTCCGCACTTTGGCCCCACATGTCCCTGTCGATGAGCGCCTCACCATTTACCGTGAGTGTGCCGATCACATCAGCAGTCACTCCGAAAAGGCGACCGGCAGCGTAAAGGTCATTTACACGCTTGCATCACCACTCCATACAGGTGATGGCTTCTTTTTCCAGCAAAACCAGGATGTGACGCGCAAGATTTTGGAAGAAATCCCGTGGTTGGTTGAGAGGGAGAAAAAGGCGGAGTCAAGTGCATATCAGCTCTTGGCTCTTCGCTACAGACTGGAGCTTCTTGCGCTCATGATATGTCGCGCCGGGTCTGCCATACCTGTCGAACTCCACCATAACCTTTGGGAGCATACTGTTGGTCCCCACGCAATCTCGAATAACGCTCGGGACTGGGCATGGGCACAGCTATTCCAAACGATCAAGCTCATCCCTGATAACGAGTACTGTCAGCAACTTGTTTCTTCTTACCTCCACAACATGGAGCCTAGGCTTTACACACCTGGCATGTTCGAATTCGTTGCCAACTACAACTTTCCTGCTATCAGGGAGCTGGTTGCGACCAATGAAGGGGAGAAAATAGTATTGCAGATTCCTGGGGCTCCTCTGCTATGGTCTATGGTCCTCTTGTCGCCAGAAGGCACTGTTGAAGATCGCGCTGCGCGTCTTCTCGCCGGCCGCTATGTCCAGATCAACGAGGTCGAGGGTATAACGCTAGGAGATATGGAAGCCGCCCACGTTGCCCTTGTCGAGAAATGTATGCATGAAATACGGGACGCGTGCAAAACCGTACGCGAGTCACATTCCGACGACGGAACCTCAACAGTATCCGATGCGATACGGCACGAGAAAGAAGGACGCTGTCGAAGAATCATTTTGTTCCAAAAGTTGCTACTTGAGCGATTACGGCAGAGACCAGAGTTCAACCGTGGCAGGCGAGCGGACTCCAAGGTTGACGAGACGGACTTCCCATACGGAGATGCGATCACGATACGCTTCCAGTGCGCTAACGGCGAACGGCAAGCAGTATCGATGAGCCCAGACAACACTTTGGATGATCTCTATCGTAGGCTTTGTTGCGTCTCTGGCTATACTAAGCTTAATCTTTTTGCAAAGGGCCAGAGGGTTGATGTAGCTGCCGGGTTGAACGACAAGATCAAAGATATTGATTTTGGGGGCCAGCTTTTGGTGCAGAGAGCGCCTGACGCAAAGGTCACTGGTCCATTGTCGGAATCGATTGCTGGATCTTCGGTGTTTGAATCCACTGTGGCCAAATACTTTGGTGAGCTGTTCTCGTTGATGGACTCGAACGACACCATTAGTCAACTGGTATGTTGTTTCTCGACGTTTTGTATTCATCGGCTAATGTATGCAAGCTCTTCGACTACCTAAGCTTCTTCCCAGCGCGAAACAATGTTCCGGACAGCGTTGTAGCGGATGAAGCCACTTCTGAAGCCCTTTTCCCACCAGGGAAATTTTGTCAGGCAAGATATGCAGCCTTGGCTCTCCAAGCTAGGCTGCGCGAGCAGATTCGGAATGTAAGTGACAATTTAAGGGTTGGTCTAGGATGTCGTGCTAACAAGCTAGAAGTCAAACTTGGACGAAAGCTTCTTGGGTAAGGTTGTGCATCACTTGAACGATGCTCTCCTCGATACAAGGTTGATTGGCGAGACAATCTCGAGTTTCCAAGAACTGCAGCTAGCAGCAGTCCTTGTGAACGTACTATTGGACTTTCTCCGAGAGCGGCCTTCTCTTGAAATCTCAACTGGCTATTTTTCCGAGCCCGCTCGGCTTGCAGATCGCCTCGTGGCGATTCTGTTGGTAGCACTCGAGACAAACGAAGATGCCTCTGTCGTGCAGGATTGCTATGGTGCTGTTCTCGAAGCATCACTCCACTCTCGAGCCATGTGGGAGGCTTTCGTTGAGCATCCGCAAGTACCACGCTTGCACAGGATCCTGCTCCTAGAAGACCCTAGAACACCAGTTCGGGAGCATGTTGCGAGAAAGATTGCGTCTGTATGCGGAGGGGACCTTCCGTCAACCTGTCCACTGACCAAGGGCGAAGTGGCCATCAAATTCTGGACTGCCATATCTGCCATTCTCCCAGACTCTGTACGCCATTCTGCGCAATCCAAGCAGCTTTTTGGAATTGCCGACCATGTTTTTCGGGCTCAGGACGAATACCAGCGTAAGGAAGACCTGCTCCGCTCATGGCTGACACAGTGGAGCGAGCTACTATTGAGTTACAAACATGTTGAGGTCGTGGGGCGCGAAGACACGGACCACGTCGTATTTGGCCTGACGAAGCTCCTTCTTTGCTGTCTACTGTCACTCAAGTCCTTTAAACAACCAGTCAATGCTGGAAGTATCATGGAAAACATCTTCAAGAAGTGCATTTTCATCGAGAGGTATGTCTCGCAACGACACGACTCGAAGATCCAGAATCGGCGCTGGGAAAGATACTGACGACGAGCAGTTCACCTACTGTGGACGCCAGCACTGTGGAAATTCCAATACTGCAGTCGCATACAAGACGTGAGATGTACGACTTGATGTTAGCCTTGGTCGATGATAGCAGCACCTACAACCACCTCCTCCAGCTTGTGGGAGAGGTAGAGTTGGAGGATTGCGAGCCATCCCTAGCGACACTTTCAGTCGACCGTTCCATGGAAATCCGCTCCAGCACTGGTTATGTGGGCCTGTACAACCCACGCGCCATTTGCTACATGAACTCGCTTCTTACCCAGCTCTTCATGAACTTGAACTTCCGCAAGTTCATACTTGGATTGGAGCTTCAGGAGGGAAATACCTCGCAGAGGCTTCTTTTCGAAACACAGAGGCTCTTCACCAACATGCAACATTCTTTCCGGCGGTCGGCTGATCCGCGAAGCTTCGCGGCGTGTGTCAAAAACTCTGAGCTTATGCCAATCGACATCAGCGTTCAGATGGACGCCGACGAGTTCTACAACTCCTTGTTTGATCAATGGGAACGCCAGCTTATCAAAGAGGAGAACAAACAGGAATTCCGCTCGTTCTATGGAGGACAAACGCTCAATCAGATCAAGTCAAAGGAATGCGAGCATGTTTCTGAGCGATCAGAGACATTTTTCGCAGTTCAATGCGATGTGCTAGGCAAGGCTACGCTCCAGGAGAGTCTCCAGGCTTTTGTTAGTGGCGATGTCATGGAAGGTGATAACAAGTACAAATGCGAGTCATGCGACAAATACGTCAATGCGGTAAAGCGGTAGGTCATGCCTCCATGGTTATTGGAAGCCGCTAACGAGTACAGAACCTGCTTCAAGGAGGTGCCGGACAATCTAATCTTCCACCTCAAGCGCTTCGAGTTTGATTTGGTCGACTTCAGCCGGCGAAAAGTCTACGATCACTTTGAGTTCCCACCATGCATTGACATCAATGCTTACCATGTTGACTACCTTGGTGATCCAAGCAAACCGCATGTGGAAGACATCTTCGACCTTGTCGGTGTGCTCGTGCACACGGGTACTTGCGAACATGGCCATTACTACTCCTACATTCGTGAGCGGCCTTGTCCAACAGGAAGTACGGCTCCAACCTGGGTCGAATTCGATGACAGTAACGTTGCTCCTTTCGATCCAGCAGACATTGCCTATCGAGCATTTGGGGGTATGAGTGATGATACCTATAGCCGTATACCCAAGCAGTACTCGGCGTATATGCTATTCTATCAACGCCGAACCGCCATCAACGAAGACCAGCGTAAATGGGTTACCTCGACGGATGGACGGACACTCAAAGTCCCTATGCCACAGGCGCTCAAGGAAGAGGTCGATGCGACCAATGAGAACATCATCCGAGAGTACTGCCAATTCGATCCAAACCACACCAAGTTCTTGCGACAGCTTCATGCCATGTCACGCACGATCAACCATGGGTCTTGCTCTGAAGACCACGCCCATGTATGCATTCTCTTACACTGTTTCAAGAAACTGTACTAACTCCTTCCAGGAAAAGCAGTCTTTGCAGATCGTTCTCACACATCTTGGCCAGATTGCTTGGCGTCACACTTCCTCAGACATCTTCACGGAAACCTTGCTTCAGCTCCGACGTTCAGTGCTTCCGTGCGCTATGTGCTGTAACGTGGTACTCGATCACTTTGCTATGCACGAGGGTATCTTACTGAACTTGCTCGTTCGTTGCCCACATGCCAAGGTGCGGTCTCAGATACGCAACTTCTTCATTGAATGTCTCAAGACCTTGCGCGAGAAAGAGCCAACCCTATATGGACTGGAGGGTACTGACAACGATCTTGACTCTGAATCTCTGGTCTTAACGGAGGGGACACTCATAGATGTCGCCAGCCGGCTACGCCAGGTTGCAGATGATACTTGTCAAAGCACCCGAGGCTGGGATGATTTCTACCTAACCTTGACTCAGGTCATAGATTTGGGCCATGCCGAGACGACTGCTGTTTTGAATCATGGCTTCCTAGAGTTTTGCCTCAATTTGCTTTCTATGCATGTGCATACAGGCCTTCAGGATGACTATCCAGAGCTCTGGAGGATTCTAAGCAAGAAAGCGGGGATTTACAATAGGCTTGTAGAGTTCTTCTCGACTTTGCTTTCGCGGATGGATACACGGCTGTCTCCGATTGCCACAGGACTGGGCAAAAACCGTGGGCCTACGCTCGACCGGGAATGCCTCAAGTTTCCATTAACCCATCGGGAGCGACAGATGCTTTTCCATTGGGACGTAGAGCTGAAAGCAATCGCAGTCCTTGACAATGCCTTGGAGATGTTTGACCAGACCAAGTTGGACTACTTCTGCCCCGGTGATATCGTCAAATCGATGCTCGGTTTGGAGGACCCACAGGCCCAGTCTAATCTCTTCAAGACTATCAACGACGGTATCAGCCTCGACCCTCCGTTCTGCGACGCATACATACGGGCAGCGCTATCATTCTGTGAGGCCTCCCCGGTCATGGAAAATGTCACCAAGGTCATCAACACGGTATGCAAAGCCATCGCATCGACAAGCCGATTTGAAGAAGAACGGGCACCGGGCGGCATGGCTGTGCTCGATTTCTTCATTGGCCTTTTAAAAGCTGTGAACGAAGTGCTCTTCGAACAAAGACATCGATACATATTCTATTACTTGCTCTTGGCGAAGGCTCGCGTATGGGCGCCCGCTCTACTCCTCAACCATCTGGAGAGTGTACGCCAGGGCGCACATATCCTCGTGAGCGAGCTTTACAGCAGTCACGAAGACTGGCCTTCGGATGTGCTGCTTGTCAAGTGGAGAACGCTCCGTGATCTGCTAGGCGACATGATCCAGCGCATCATATACGAAAAGGATGCGGGCATGCTGAGGATGCATCTGACTCCGCTCATTGCCAGCTGTCAGTTCCTTGTTCAGCAAATTCTCGACCTGTCCCAGGACGAGGATCCGGACATGGACCTGTACAGAGACGACGCAAACGATAGTGCTCGCGTCTATTCGTGGCGAACAGAAGTTGAGCCTCGTCTGCAATCATGGCCACAAGACGACAGCCTATCAGCGGCCGACCTCTACGAGCAATCGGACTTTGGTAGTGAGTCTGATATTGACGAGGTAGCTGATGTTGAGTGATAATTATTGACTCAGTCTGTTGTCGCAGGTGATTCGGCAAAGACACTCGGTTCATCGCCTCCTCCTATTTCCAGTATCGACCGTGCGAGTTATGGTGCTGCCCGATTTTTCAAAGACGAATACTTGACAAGGGTCGAAAATTCGTTTCTAAATTCGAAGTCGTAAGACGGGAAAGGTTTCAATTGCTCGACAGCTGGTCTATTCTTGGTTGCCTGATTTTGCACAATTCTTGGGAAAATGCCAATTGCTTGGCCGACTGATGTGCAGGAGGGCCTTGGGCAACGTTGGCGTTTAGAGTCTTTGCTCGTTATCACGATGATTGTTTTATGATTTACATTGGAGCGGCATAGCGTGGGTGCTTGGGCGTGTTCGGATGGGCTGTGGGATGGGCTGATGATGCATGACATGGGTTGGGACATGACTACATTGCGTTGTGACTTTTGCTATTCTCAAGATAGAGCGCAGCTGCGTGCGCGTGAATGATTCAGAACCTTTGCTTTGCAAACATTACCCGTGCTGTAATGCTCGTGACGGGCTCCTGAGGAGGACAATGGAATCCTTTTATTTGTTTTATGCGTGATATCGACGTGCTAGCGCAGTGGTAATGAGATGCTTTATCATGTGAGCTTACCCACGATTTCATCATACTAGGCCTGCATCTCCCAGCCCAACCCAGTCGGACGCTTGCGGGGATAGGGCGTGGATAAGCATCTTAGCCAAGCTTTCGTCAGCGCAGAACGTGCTGTCGCGCGTCCCCGCCCGCAGCACCTACGTCATAAGAACGGAACTCGCGGACAGGCTTCCCACCACCCAGTTCGCGCTGCCGTCATAACGAGGCTGTTATCTTCAATCTTCTACCTTGCCGCTGTGCTCTTTAAATCCTCCAAATTACCTGTCCTCTCCTAATTTTAATTTTCCTTTCTCTCCTCGATTACCGCAATAATTGTGGCTATTCCCCCCCATCTTGCCTGCGGGAAGGGGAAGCACGCGACACGTTAAAATACCAGATTCCAGGGTTTGCGACGCTCGGCCGAGTCAATTGGAAGCTACCGGATAATCTCGCTTGAGTGGAAAAAAAGGAATATAAGAGGTGTTGAAGCGAAGAAGAAATCAACCACAGCAGAAACACCATGGCGAGCAAACTTGATGCGATGAAGCCACAGAGGAAGATTGAACTCTTTTCGGGTTCCTACTTTGCGGCGTGCACCATGGGCGGCATTATTGCGTGCGGGCCTACGCATACCATGGTTACCCCTCTTGACCTGGTAAGTGGTCTACGGTCTTAGTCTGACGGACTATGCTGGTAGTCTTGTAATCTTACCAAAGCCATCGCGCGCTCCAAAGGCGCAGAAACGAGTACCGTCGAATACCTTAGAGCCTTTTCACTAACAAGAGGTCGTTAGGTGAAATGCCGCCGCCAAGTCGACTCGTCCCTGTACAAGTCGAATAGCCAGGCTTGGAAGATGATTTACTCCAAGGAAGGTCTCCGCGGCGTCTTCTTCGGTTGGACACCCACCTTCATTGGATACTCGATGCAAGGTGCCGGGAAATACGGCTTTTACGAAGTCTTCAAGTACCTGTACGGCGACAAACTTGCGCCAGGTGCGCCGAAGCAAGTCGTCTACCTTGCTGCTTCGGCTTCGGCCGAATTCCTCGCTGATATCGCGCTATGTCCCATGGAGGCTATCAAAGTCCGCATGCAAACCACCCTGCCTCCATTCGCGCACACGCTGAGAGAGGGATGGGCAAAGGTCATCAAAGAGGAGGGTGTTGGTGGGCTGTACAAGGGACTGTATCCTCTGTGGGCGCGTCAGATCCCATACACCATGGTCAAGTTTGCGACGTTCGAGGAGACTGTTACCCAGATCTACAAGTTCCTGGGCAAGCCAAAGGAGTCGTTTAACGGCCTTCAGCAGACTGGAGTTTCATTCTTGGGAGGCTACATTGCTGGTATCGGATGTGCTGTTGTCTCGCACCCTGCAGGTATGTCGTCAACCGCCGCTCGTCTCAGGGTTATCCCAAGGAAAAAGCTAATCGACACCAGATGTCATGGTTTCCAAACTGAACAGCGACCGCAAGGCTGGCGAGGGCGCGGGCCAGGCCATTGGCAGGATATACGGCAAGATTGGGTTTACGGGTCTGTGGAACGGACTGCCCGTTCGTATCTTCATGATTGGTACTCTGACGGCCTTTCAATGGCTCATTTACGATTCCTTCAAGGTCTACCTTGGCGTACGTTATTCCATTCTCCATTCTCCATTTATCCCGAAAACCACTTTGCAAAGTCCCTACTAACATGACCCCAGCTACCCACAACCGGAGGCCACTAAGAACATGCATTTCCCATGCAAGACAAACGCAACGATGACGACAAAGAAGAAGGAGGACGAGGAGGAATCACACCCATATATTTCGCGAAACAAGTTTCCCAGTGCAACAGACCAAGATCATGTAATTCGACCCACGGAAACCCCTAGCCTCAGTCTAATTACATACATACATACCATACCATACCATACTACATTCATACGTGGTATTTCTCCAATCCGTGCTAAAGATCAGCTAGCCCCAAAAAAAACCCTGCCGAAAATAACCCGCACGTAGATCACAATCACTTACTTTCCCGCTGTCTTGGTCTCACCGTTGATCTACATTCCCCCCTTTCTTTTCCTTTCTTTTTTCTCCCTCTATGCTCCATCCCTTTGTTTCTGTTTTTTTCCGCACGGCGAAAACGGTCCGATCTGCAGGGACCAAAAAGAAGAAAAAAAAAATGAAAAGTTAAAAGTGCCGCGTTTTTCCCACGTGGGTGCGTGGAACGGTACACTCGGATCATTTAAACCTTCTGCTGCGTTTGGTCGGTCAACGAACCGCTGTGGCTGCCACGCGGTCGCTGTGGCTCGTGCTTGGAGATTGAAACTGTGGGGACTCTTTTCTTTTTGCGAATTTGGAAGGTTGTTTTTATTTTTGGAAGGGCCATGCGGGTGGGGGGGGAGCATGGTGACAGAAAAAGCAAAGCTGTCGGGGCTGGTGATGACATACGCAGTTTAAAAACGAGATGGAAATAGATGTGGATAGGAAAGGATGAAGAGAGAAAGGGAAGCAGGGAGAGTGTTGCACGAAAAAAAGAAAAAAGAGAAAAGCCATCAAATACTATAGACGAACGTCTTCTAACTTGTGTCTCACGAACTCCATGACCAACCTTGTCACATCTGTTTCTTGCTTGCTCGCTCACTCACTCACACGACCCTGTTCAGCCTGCCTGCCTGACTGTCCGCTCTTTTTCTTGGTTCCGGATCAGACTCACAACTTCCCAAGGAACCGACATGTCCTTGTTCTCTTCACTCCTCTCTTTCTTGCCTATCTCTCTCTCTCTTGCTCATTCGCTCGCTGGACACAGAACCGCCTGCCTAACCCCCAATCGCCAAGAAATCAAATCCCACATTTACGTTTCTAGGATGTGGAATTGATTTACAGGATGATACCGTTACCAGAGAGGATGGTGTTGTCGCCAACACCAGAGTTTCCGTTTCCGTTTCCGTTACCAGAGTGGATGTTGTTCTTGCTACCGGAGCCGGCGACGATGGCGGTCAGGGCACCGTCAACGCCATCAGCCTCGCGCTTGATGATCAGGCCGTTGCCAGAGAGGAGAGAGTTGTGTCCGATAACCGAGTTTCCGTTTTCGTTTCCATTGAGAGAGCCAATGTTGTTCTGTTAGGGGGAGGCAGAATGTTACTAAGATGTATTTTCCTATCACGTTATGAACGACGTACCTTGCTGCCACTGCCGGCGAGAATAGTGTCAACAACATCAGGCTCGCGCTTGTCAACAATGTCGTTGCCAGAGAGGATGGTGTTGTGGCCAATAATAGAGTTTCCGTTTCCATTTCCATTAAGAGAGCCAATGTTGTTTGTGCTGCCCTCGCCGGCGAGGATAGTGTCAACGACACCAGCCTCACGCTTGACGTCAAGGACGCTGGTGGCGTCGGAGACGGGCTTGACGAGGCCGAAGAGGGAGCTATCTAGTCCGTTGGTGTCAGGAACAACGCCGTTGACGACTGCGAGACCACCCTCAACAACGGGAGTGTGCTTCAAAGGGTCGGTGAGACCGCCAGCAACGGGAAGGCCGTTAACAACGGGAATACCGCCATCAGCGGTAAGGTCGCGCTTAGCCTTCTTGTCGTCGAAGACGTTGATGCCGTTGGCCACCGTGTTAACAGGCTTGGTGGCAAGACCGGCAAGATCGGTAACCCCGGAAAGGTCACCGCCAAGCTGGCGCTTTTGGATGTCACTCTCGAGGCCCTGGACAACACTGCCAGCGCCGAGCTTGCCAGTAACACTGTCAACAGTCTGAGCAGTACCAGGAACGACGGGAACACCGAGTTGACGCCTGGCGTTACCAACGACCCTGATCTTGGTAACGTCGCCAATAGCGCCGGTAACGCCTTCAAGCTCAGTTCCCTGGCGCTTCTCCTTCAGAATACCATCCGTGAGGCCGTTGAGTGCAACCACGTTGCCAGACAGAAGGGCGTTGTCACCAATGACCTTGTTGCCGTTGTGGTTGTCGTTTCCAGAGCCGATGTTGGTGAGGCTGCCGGCCTGAGGCGTAGGAGCCGAGAGCACGGATGCGGACAAGGCAAAGATGGAAACACTGGTGTAGAAACGCATCTTGATGGTGTCTGATATATTAGAATATTAAGTGGTATAAAACAACAATGAGCGACTTGAGTTGATGCGTAAAAAAGAGTGACGGACAACGATGCGTTGGAGGATGATCGTGGTCGGAGGAGTCGGACGTGGTTTATATATCCTATTCGCAAGCTTCCTCGTAGTAGCCTCTGTCGATTCAGAGGACTCGCCGATCAGTGTCATCGTATGCCAGCGGCCACCGCAAGCCTAGTTTGCTGGAGCCTGTCGTTCCGAACAATTCCTGACTGCATGCTGCTGCCCGTTTAGAATAGGGAGAAATCATGGACGATCGTCATTAGTCGACTGTGCCTCTACCACTCTCCAATCAAAACCATGCATGGAGGCACTGAAGAGGGTTAGTGCCTGCAGCGGGGAAGCAGGAACACGTGCTGTGGGGTACAGGTTTATGAATCGTGCAGACGCGAAGTGAGAATGTTGGTCATCTGTGCGGTGGCTGTCAAGCTTCCTGGGGCGTTGCTTGGAGACTTTGGATAGCTCTCTTTTCATCGCTTATGTCAGACTGAGGGCGAGTTCCGCTCCAATTACAGTACGGATGCAAGTGTAGTTCATAAGCAGTTGACAGTAGCAACGGCCGGTTGATCTATCTTGCAAACGGTGCAAGGACGGACGAACCGTGCAATAGTTGACGCGTAGGCGTATGTAGAGTGCAAGGCACTCGTCCAGGGGGCCTGAATGGGGGGTATTTTTTTTCCAGCTGGTTGCCTGAGCGGGCGAACCACGGCCACCCCTGACGATCTATGGGTACTGAACGGGTGTGGCGCTAAAGGTCGATCATCCGCTTTCGGCAGATACGCACATTGTCCAAGTAGCTGCGTCAGACGAGCCAGTCTTACCAGGCGTTTCTATTCGTTTCCTTTGTCAATCGTGACTAAGACGAGCCAGAGAGTTCGTATTGTGCCGTGCGGCGAGGTTGCTGTAGCCTTGATGACAGACTGATGTAGGGATATGCTCGTGTGGGCTCCTTAAGGGGAGGGGGTGCCAGAAGGGGAGGTGATAGCCATGGCAGTGAGATTTGACCGGGGAGTAAACCCTCTTGGCAACGCTTTGGCGCCGGCGCTAGCCACGTGGGGTTTGGTAGTGTCAGAGAGCTTCGCCGAGCCCAATTGGGACGTGTTCCAATCATCGACGTGACCACCATCTCTTCACTTCGTCGATGGAATTTGCCGATGGGTTAGACTCTCCCGCTGGTCATGATCACCATCTAGTGAGACAAGCCGCTATGTTGCTGGAACCCTCTCCCCGTCCCTGGTTCTAATTAAACTAGCGGATGGGTACAGAGTTCCTATTATAGGTATAGAGCAGGGTTAGGTTACATAGATCTTAAGTAGAGGGAAGGTTAAGTTATATAGACCTAAAGTAGATATAGAGTTAGGTTATATCAACTTTAGGTAAAATTAAATTTCAATTAACTATAGTATAAATAGAGTTGAAATTGAGTTATTTAAGTTTTAGTAAAGTTAAAGTTGAACTGAACTGATTATCAGTATACTAATATAACGCTTAGTAAAAGTTCCCTATATAAACAAGATATATATGATAATAAATATTCTATTAATTATATCTAATTATTAAAGATGGAGAAAGTATGATTTTCTAGTGTTTTACGCAGGATAACAGGTATTACTTCTACTTATTGATTAATGAACTTAAATAGGCTTTTATTACCTACTAAGTATATAGATAAGTAAAATAAATTAAGTATATTACTTATTACTTGGATTTTAGTAGCTAAAGCTGTAGTATTTTCTAATACTAAAACTACTTAGTAATTTTATTTTTAGTTAAATATTTACTTCATTAAATGATTTAAACTTAATGAGCACTTTTTAAAAGGTTTTATAATAACTACTTAACTACTACTATATATTTTATTATTACTATTAAGTTATTTACTCATTTAGGCTTATTATATACTACTTTAATAAGTGGTAGCTTATTAAAGTAGTATAGTAACTTTACTTATTTAGTGTGAACTAAAAGTAAATATTATTTTATTTTATATGAATCTATTTCTTTATATAAATGAAATCTATTGAATCTTTCAAGCTTTTTATTAAGCTTAATTCTACTTTCTTTAGTATTCCTAATAAGTAGCTACTAATAAAAAATATAAGTATATTAAAGGTACTAGTATTTATATAATAGTAGCTTCTACTCTAAACAACTTTATATAAGTAATAGGTTATTAGAGCTAAATTGTAGGTATAAAATGAATTTCATAATTAAGCTTTAAGAAATAACGTGGTTCACAAGTAAGTTGCTAACACAAGCGAGTCGCTAACGCCCTACTACTACATCTATATTAACACCTTATTATAGTTTTTTATTATAGTGAATAAACTATTATAATACACTAAATTAATTATTAGAATCGCTACTATTACTTACACTATCTATCTTAACTACGTAGGTACGAGCGTTGTATCTAGTCTACTTATAACGCCTACACTACTGCTCTTCTTGCACCCTCTTTAACGCACTCTTACTATTACTATAACTACTACCCGCCTATTTAGCTAATACTTCTTATACTTTACTAATAGTAAGAGTCTCTTCTATCTATATATGTCGCCGCTTGAAGCTTTTACGCTTATTTAACTTATTAAGAGCTACTTAAAGCGTACCTATTTCCTCTATTATAAGCGTTATTTTATATGCTATTTGCTAGGCCCTCTTACTTAGCTACGCAATCTACTTAGTAAGTAAATTAGTAGAAGACCTATAGCGTTTTCTTACGCTCTCTTCAATAAAACTAATTTAAGACTTAACTTTGCGCGCGTTGCGTGGTGTCTGCGCCTACTAGATAGCTACCTATTCTAGTAATTGTATAAGTGTCTACACTACTATATTAAGCTTAGATAGCATAGCCTATAGGTTGTGTAGGACTAGACTAGCGCCTCTAAAGCTAGCTTAGATATTCTCCTTTGTAATAGACTACTTAAAAGCAGTCTTAAAGGCTAGTAAGAAGGTCTCTTTGCTAATATAGTAGGTGCGGTTACGTGCTAAGCCTAAAATAGCATTACTATACTTGCGCTTTGACAGCGAGAAGCAGGTGATGTTAAGAGGCTATAATAGGTAAGACAAGTGTGTAAGTATGAAGAGAAGCACAATATGCTTCTCCTTATAAAGATCTTAGAAATCAATAAAGTAGTAGCTTTTATAGTTATTAATAATAAGTAGTTGATACCTACTTATAGTAGAGCTCTTTGTATAGGTATTAAAGTGCTCTAACTAGGCAAGACTAAGCTAATTATTTGTTTAGCTATAAGAACTAACTTTAAGAAACTAGTTAGTAGGCAAATTCTTAAACTAGACGTTAATAAGCACCTTGTGTAACGGGCTAGGTAGCCCGCTACAGTACAGATAGCGGTGGCTATCTTATGTATCAACTACGCAACGATATCAGCAGCTCTGATATCTTGTGCCAGCCTTTTTGGCGCGGTGGGCGCGTTGTAGTTGCGTGCGCAGTCTAATAGGACTCGACCCGTTACACCTTGCCTATAAAGACAATAAAGGGTAATATTTAGTAACCTAACGCTCCTATGCTTTAGATTATAGTAACCTACTTATAGTTGCCTAGCTATATCTACTTCTTTTTCTTATATTCCTCTAATGCTATAATAACTAACTATAATAAAATCTTACCTATTATAAAGCTAGTCTTATTAAAGTTATAGATATTATTATCTATAATACCCTACTTCTACCTTATTACTTAGACTAAGTTAAACTAGCGCTAGATAGCTACTAGATTCTTATAGGCAGCTTACAAGTAATTATAGAGATAGGGCTAGCGCGTATAGAGCTTAAGAGTCTACTCAATCAAGTTATTAACTTAGTTTTTACTAATAGGGTTGCGACTACGCTTTTCTAATAGTTTATTAGCTATTACTTAAATACTAAGCTTTATAGGCGCAAATCCTTATATAGACTCTTTAAGAATATGCTTAACTATAGCCTCTTCTTTTAGCTTATCTAGACGCTTTAATTTTAGCTTATAGTTACGTTAAGGGCACTTTCTAGCGCGTTAATTAGATAGAGTTCTTTATAGAACGTTATAGATAGTAGTAATATAGTTTACACTCTAAATATATCATAACTAAACGTTAAAAAGAGTAAGTTAAAGATTAGATTTAGAATATATTAATAGATAGTTACGTTATTAAGACATTACGCGTTATAGTGATGAAGTTAATAGGCTAGTGGGGCGTTAGTAACTCGCTTAGGTTAGCAACTTACTTGTGAACCACGTTAAGTGCTATTTAATTTTATTAAAGGTATTATATTTTTAGTTTTTAATATATTCTTACTATTATACTATTAGGTTATACTGTAGGTGGTCAGTGCTTGCAACTGTTTAGCGGATGCAACACCCCACCAAAATTAGTGCTCCACCAAAGATGAGGCTATAGAGCCCCATACAAAAGCTATTATCACGAGATTTACTAGTGAAGTATTAAGCAAGTAGTAATATATATTTCCATCTATATAGATTTCGCTAGTAACTTTATATTGCGGCCGCGGGTGGTGGTTTTGGTGGAGGGCTTAGCGGGCGGCGGTGCAACTCTATCACCACTCTCGCAGCCCACCACACGACGACGTTTTGCTATTTTTGTATTCTGCAACAATAAAGCTTTTTATTTAGGTGTACTTTGCTTATTGCAAGATTTTTTTATTGTTATAGCAAGCTAATCTTATTTTTTTAGGCGCGCGTGGTAGTAAGTTATGTAGCCTTAGCCTTCTATTCCTTCTCGCAGGCAACTTTTACAATTTCCTGCGCCTATTTTGCCTCTATAGCTATTGATATTTTATACTAGGTAGTAGCTTCTTGCATCTCTTTTCTCTCTTTTTTTAGAGTTTTTCTACCTCTTCTTCTTAGTGTTGTACAGCCTAACGCGCTTAAGCTTCCTGTACCGCCTAAGGGCTCCACACCACCGCTAGACTCTAGTACTCTTCATGTTATTAAAGGCTAAGAACTCTATTAT